CCTAAATTTCTTTTCAGTACAGTTGCTAAACTTACACAGAATCATAGCTCTGAGCCATCTATTCCCTTAGCCCTCAGCAGCAATGACTTCATGGGACTTTTTACAAGTAAAATTAATTCTATTAGAAACAAAATCTTTAGCATCCTCCCTAATGCGATTTCTTCTTCCTCAGTAAGTGAGGCAGCATCAGAGGTGACTGTAGAACCTCATCTGTGCTCGAACCGTTTTGATCCAGTTGAGCTTTCAGAGTTATCAAAAATATTAGCTTCATCTAAACCTTCAACTTGCATTTTGGATCCAATCCCAACCAAATTATTCAAAAATGCATTTCCTTTGGTTACTGCCCCCATACTAAATATAATCAATCGATCCTTAGTAAATGGGTATGTACCACAAGATTTTAAGGTTGTTGTAATCAAACCTTCACTTAAGAAGCCTTCTCAGGATCCAGATGACCCAATGAATTATAGACCAATATCTAACCTTCCATTTTTATCCAAAGTCCTGGAGAAAATAGTGGCCATCCAAGTATTTACCGTCCACCACCCTATAACAAGGATTTTCTTAATGAATTTGCAAACTTCCTGGCAGACGTCTCCTGCAGATATGGAAAAATACTCTTGCTGGGTGATTTTAATATTCATGTCTGCTGTCCTGACAAACCTTTGGTAAAGGATTTCTTAGATCTTATTGACTCATTTAGCATGTCCCAACGTGTTAATGGACCCACTCATGGTCATACACACACACTAGACCTGATTTTTTGTCATGGGCTGCAAATTAGTGATCTTGGCATTCTACCTGCAACTTTTTCTGATCACTCACCAGTTGTGTTTAATATGAACTTAGACTCTGCCTCTCGTGTTGAGTGTTTCCGTCCCAGCTTCTCTCGAACAATCGGACCCAATACTGCTGCACATTTTGCTGCTATTCTTGCTTTGAATTCAGCTCCATTTCAATCTACTGATGAATTTACTGCTGTTGAGGGATTACTTCATGCGCTTGATTCATCCTGTCTGGCTGCTTTGGATATTGTCGCTCCATTAAAATCAAGGCGAAATACATCCCGACCTGACCCATGGCTGAACGAGCAAACTCGTTCCATGAGACAACATGCCAGAAGACTGGAACGTAAATGGATAAAAGACAGGCTTACTGTATCCTTTGAATCCATGAGAGAGGCGTGGTCTCAGTACCAAAGAGCAGTCAGAGGCGCAAGAAATCGATTTTTTGCAAGCATCGTAACGGCTAATTCTAATAATCAAGGTGTGTTATATAAAACTATGAATGCAGTGCTTTCACCAGTTACAAAACTATTTTCCTCTGCGTCTGCTGACTTGTGTAACCAAATCCTGCAGTTTTTCTTAAATAAGATTAGTGTAATCAGAGCTCAGATTCACCAAACCAACCATGTTCCTGATTCAGTCATTCCCCCTCATGTGCAACTTCAAAGCTTTCAGCCCATCTCTCTGCCCTATCTAGAAAAAACTGTTGCTGCCATGAAACCGTCTGGCTCCCCAGAAGATGTTATCCCACCTCGTCTCCTGAAAGAGGTTTTTCCTTTCATTAGCCATAATGTGCTAGACATCTTAAATAGTAGCTTGACATTGGCTGAAGTTCCCTCTGCCTTTAAACACGCCGTTCTTCAGCCAATCTTGAAAAAACCTGGTCTCGACCCCACTGATTACTCTAATCTCCGACCAATTTCCAAATTACCGTTTTTATCTAAGGTCCTTGAGAAAATAGTGTATGAACAGATGCTGACACATCTAAATGACAATCAGGTAATGGACATTTTTCAGTCTGGTTTCAGAAAACAGCACAGCACTGAAACTGCTCATGTTCGGGTGTTTAATGACATTTTTCTCGCTTTAGATTCAGGTTTCCATGTGGTTCTGCTACTTTTGGATCTATCAGCAGCATTTGACACGATCGATCATAACATCTTGATCACCAGACTTCAGACTTGGGCTGGCATTTCTGGTTCAGCCCTAGATTGGTTCAGGTCATACTTTCATAACAGGTCCGCTAGAGTCATGTTGGATGGCTGTTCATCCGAGTCACAACCACTCCGTTGGGGTGTCCCACAAGGTTCAATACTCGGCCCGTTACTATTTAACCTCTATATACTGCCCTTAGGAGCCATTTTCAGAAGGCACGCTGTCTCATACCATCTTTACGCTGATGACTGTCAGATCTACTTTTCATTCAAGCCAACTCAATCAATGCAAGTTCTGTCTGATTGTATCGATAATGTTAAGCTTTGGCTTGCTGATAACTTCCTCCATCTGAATGACTCCAAAACAGAAGTAATCGTTTTTAATCCTCACAGCATCCCGGCTACTCATCTACCTGACCTCAACTATCTCTCACCTAATGTCTCCACTGTAATTTCCAACCTTGGAGTTAAAATAGACCAGGCTCTGAAGATGGATGCTCAGGTCAATGACACAGTTAAATCATGTTTTTACCACCTCAGGCGTATCTCTAAACTTAAGCACATCCTGAGTGTCCGTCTTCTCAAATCAGTAGTCCACACTTTCATCACTTCACGGCTGGATTACTCCAACTCCTGCTTATACGGCATCAGTAAAGCAGCTCAATCTAGACTTCAGCTAGTCCAGAATTCAGCAGCTAGGTTCCTGACTGGAGTTGACAGAAGACAGCACATTACACCAATTCTAAAATCTCTCCACTGGTTGCCCGTTCATCTCAGGATCAATTTCAAAATCATGCTTCTCACTTATAAATCCCTGAACAGTCAAGCTCCTCCATATCTGTGTCAACTCGTCCATTACTACAATCCGCCTCGTGCTCTCAGGTCTGAGGATAAGCTCCTCCTAGCTCTTCCTAACGCACGTCTGAAAAGCCGTGGAGAAAGGGCTTTCTCTGTCTGTGCTCCCAAGCTGTGGAATGCATTACCACTACTAGTGAGGCAAGCACCAACAATTAGCATTTTTAAATCTCGCATGAAAACTCACTACTTCAACCTTGCATATAATACATAATCATGGACCACTTTCGACATCTGCATTCTTTCTACAATAGAATGCACAATAATTAACATCTGTATTACTGTGGTTCTTTCATATGTTTTTATCTGTTGTTTCACATTCCTTTGTGTTTTTAGTGTTTTACGACTGTTAGTTCGAGTATTTTCTTGTTTTCATTTTTTCTTATAAACTATGCTTTAAATGTCATTCTGAACGTGTTAATTAACTGTAATCTTTTAATGTACAGCGCCTTGTCTGGTTGTAATGCCATGTTGAATGCGCTTTATAAATAAAATGGTATGGTATGGTATGGTATGTCAGCATTTAAACACTAATGCTCTGTTTGAGGAATTTCAGTCTGGTTTTAGAGAGTATCACAGCACTGAAACTGCATTAGTGAGAGTTACAAATGATATTCTCATGGCCTCAGATAAGAATCTTGTGTCTGTTCTAGTCTTGTTAGATCTCAGTGCTGCCTTTGACACAGTTGATCACAATGTTCTTTTAGAAAGACTTGAACATGTTGTAGGGATCAAAGGAACAGCGTTAGGCTGGTTTAAATCCTACCTGTCTGACAGATTTCATTTTGTAAATGTACATGACAAATCTTCTTCATACTCCAGGGTTACAGCCTCAGAGTTGAGATTAACTGTTTTAATCACAATAGTAAAGGAACTATTACAGAACAAGTTTTTCAATAAAATCAGAACATCATTATTTAAGTGCATGAATTGAGAGAAAAAGAGAGAGAGAGAGAGAGAGAGAGAAAAAAAGAGAGAGAGAGAGAGAGAGAGAGAGGAGAGAGAGAGAGAGAGAGAGAGAGAGAGAGAGAGGATCTTTTCTGTAGCGCCTCTCAAGATAAAAATCACGGGGCGCTTTACAAAAACAGAACATGTGAAATAAAAAAAAGAATTTAGAAAATGATTAAAATATATTTAAAATGAGCAAAAAATAGACAATTGTGATTAAAAAAATGTAAAGAGAGAGAGAGTGAACAGGAAAGAGGGAGTGGACCCTGAGGAAGAGGAGGGGGGGGGGAGAACGACCGGAGCGGAGGCAGTGACCGACGCAGCACGAGCCGTTTTCAGCTCTGTCTTGTCAAATGCACCACGTAAGTTATGAAAAAAGTAACTTTAAATAACTTTAAAGTAACTTTAAAAAGAAGCAAACAAGAAAACATAGGGAGTACTGTGTGTGTGTGTGTGTGTGTGTGTGTGTGTGTGTGTGTGTGTGTGTGTGTGTGTGTGTGTGTGTGTGTGTGTGTGTGTGTGTGTGTGTGTGTGTGTGTGTGTGTGTGTGTGTGTGTGTGTGTGTGTGTGTGTGTGTGTGCATGGACCGGAACCGGACTGAGCTCCCGGTGCAGAGTTTTGTGTGTAGGGAGGGGCGGGCGCTCTATGTGACTGGCCAATCACAGAGCATGAAGACAGTCAGTTACCCAATGAGGATTTTCCTTCGGCACGATTACAGATATTTACGAGTTTTACTCGTGTCATGCTCGTATTCGTCAAAAATGCTTCATCCGTACCAGACACTCGTCTGAAACGAGTATCCAGCTCATCCCTAGTCAGCATAACATTTAATATAAAACATTTAGCTGCCAGAATCAGCTGCCGTGGTCTGCCAAATCAATTTCACCTTGTGTGTTTGTAAGGTCCATTTCCTGGTTATGCAATAAAGTTTTGAGATGGTCCCAACTTGATGTGAAGGGAGGCTTGGCACTTCACTGTCCAGTGGTAGACGTTACTTGTGTGATTGTGAAATAAAGCCCCATGCTGTGCTGGACACCTGGCTCGTCTCCCGTGTCTTCTTAAACCCAGGAAGAGCCCACCACTGGCAGGTAATTATTACAAACTGAGAATGTAACTGTGACCGACTGTGGTAATCTAGGGATGTGGTGTGCGTGCCACCACATCACAATGGATAAGACGTGACTGCTGGTTTTATTGGTGTTTGTCTTTTACTTGTAATTGTTCTTTGCTAGCTGCAAGACACATTTACAAGACTCACCTTGACGTTATGCATGCTCATGAGGTTTCCACAGCTGTCCAAGTAATGTTTAAGGTCACTGTCCTGTAGGACAAAACAAGCGTGTGTTCCTTCTTGAATGATCCCTCTGAGTAACGGATGTTTAGAAACCATGCACACGTTGAACCGCAGGTGCACTCACCAGATACTCAAACACCAGCGTGAGGCAGCGGTCGGTGTGGATGATGTCGTGCAGAGTGACGATGTTGGCATGTTTAAGGTTCTTCAGAAGAGAAACTGCTCATGGACACAAAAGGGACAAAGCAAAGAACTTATGGATCTCAGATGAGTACCTGTAAAGTTTCAGAGCTGGTGTTGAGGGCCCAGGCACAATCCTAAAAAAGATTTCATCTGCTCTCATTGTCAGAGCATGGATTACTTCCTGTAATAATAGAAGTTTACAGTGCATTTACCAGAATCGAGACTTTGTTATGTGCACTGAGCCCAGAGGCGTTGTAACATCTGCATCAGAACCATGAACACTAGAACATTTGTACAACACTAGTTTCAAGGCCAGGCCTGTTTTCCACTGCCTGGTGTTCTTTCATAGCGTGCATTAACAAACACATCAGCATGTCATGAGGACGTCAGACTGATGTGGACTTCCTGCTGTTTCAGCGTTAACTTTAGAGTTTTCTCCTCAGAAGAAGCTACAACGGCCATTCTCCTGGTATGAACCCTTCCTTTCTTTAACATAGAGGTGCTGCTACTTGTTGGGTTATTTTAGCAGCACAGGTATTCACAGCATTCCAGATATTCCCTACACTACTAGTTCACCTGTTTTTACTCTTTATTTGGTGTGTCGGCTCGGTCCTCTCAGTCAGCCGTGGCAGATGGCCGCTCAATCTCAGCCAGGCTGCCTAAAACGCTTTCAAGGCATGCAATCATTTGCTTGAACTTGTGGTTACCATGGTGACCCTCTGACTTTAAGAAACACCAAGCTGAGTTTTCTTGTTTACCCTCCTTCATGACATGAACACATGCTTGGGTGTGAGTTTCTCTACCCTCTCTGATGGCTGTGCACGGTGCCCCCTCCTCATGTTCCAGACGGATCTCCTTCAGCGCCACCAGGTTCTCTGTTAGTTTGCTTCGTCCTTTAAACACGGTAGCATACGTCCCCTAAAACCACACAGAAGCAGACTTGTCTTTAAACAGCATATCTGATGAAATCGCGGTGAAGTAAACACACATGACAGGTAGGTGAAGGGAAGGCTGGTGGAGTTAAAACACACCGCTCAGCCAAGTAGGAGGGGCCACCAGTAAAAAAGCTCACACACTGACTTCTCTTTGGCGGCTACAGCATTCTTTCACTGTGGCGTTGTTTCGATAAGCTTCTGCAGTGCCACCAGATTTGTTTCCATCCATTGTTGCATTAATGTTCCACCAAGCCTGACCGCTGCACAAAGCCTTCTCCAGCACGTCCTCACTGGGGTTAAGGTCTGGACCAGTTAGGGTTAAACAACGTGTTGCAGCTGGAACACAATCACCCAACAGGAGGCTCCTACCTATTTGCTTAGTTTAATCCAGGTGGGGACTTATTGTTTGGGGTGGGGGGGTGGGGGTGGGGGGGTGGGATCTGTGGATAAAGTCAAACTGGATGGATCATCATCGTTTGAGTTAGAAGTTCTAGAAATACCCGATGGATGGGAACAAACCAGAGAAGGTGGATCACACATCTGTGTCGCTTTGAAGTCTCGTGAGACTGATGGGCAGTGTTGGGAGTAACGCGGTACAAAAGTAATTAATTACTGTAATGCATTGCTTTTTGCTGTAATGTGGTAATGTAAGGCATTACAGGGAAAGAAAATGGTAATATTTACTCGGTACAGTTGTCAGTAACGCGGTAATTACAACGCATTTTTAAACCCAGAATCAAGATGTGGGTTTCCTAAAAATTCTAATAGTGGGAAGCCTGAAAAAAGATCCGGTATCTACATATATGACGTCATTTATGGACTCAGCTTTGCGGGCATTCTATGAGCAGAGAGGACGCAGCGGTAACGGCTCAAATACTCCAGCTGCGTCCTGCGCGGCCGCTGTTATATTCACAAAACCGCTCCACCAAAACCAA